AGGGATTTTCATTCATTAGAAGTAACGAGAGACCTCTTGAAGCCCAGTGTAGAAATGGATGGTAGCTAACACATCCCTGCTATAGCCCAGCCCAAGGGATCTGGGCCCAGACGCGAGTGTCACTTGGCTAAATGTCCACTGCAGGTGGCTTGGATTATTGCCCTCCTCATTTTCCTAACAGACACCAGGGCTTAGGTTTCCTTGGAATTCCAGGCCCTGCCATTGCTCAGGGCCCCAGGGCAGTCCTGAGAAGTGCAGCCTTTCAGCAGCGGAGGCTGGCTGCATCCCTGGGGGCTGTGTCCCTGAGGTGGCCGACTAGCAGCCACTTTCATCTGCTCGGCTGATGCGCCAGTCACAGAGGGGCTCTTGTCATTTACTCTCTGGCCTATCAGGAAGCCCTTGATAAACACTCGGTCAGTGGAGTTTGCGACTAAAGACAACCCCTTAGTGACCTTATTAGGGTTTAAGTGATCCATGTGGCTGCCCGGGAAGTGGTCCAATGTCTGTGTTGATGAAGTTGACAGAGGGTGTAGCTGAGGTTGCTGCCATGTCTGTGTGGGACATCCCCACGCACCCACCTAGTCTGTACCTGGCCCTGTGCTAGGCCCTTGGAAACTCAGGAATGACTGCCAGCCTTTGTCTTCTCTGCCCTCCAAGGGGCCACAGTTGACTGGAAGTTAACAAATAGTTATATTTGTAATAGTTGCAATTGTCAAATTCTTTAGTGGTATAGGAACAAGAAATCTTTGTGTCCTAGGCCAGGCCTCTTTTAAGAGGAAAGTATTAATACTTTGTCTTGGTTAAATGGAACCAAATTGATTCTTCTGAAAAAAATTTATAAACAAGAAGTCCTAGTTCCCAAGTTTCCTGGTCAGATTTCCCTTTCTGGAATAACAGAACTCATCCCTCTTTGGATGAGAACCAGCATCTTTCCAGCTTTAAGCAATCCGAAGCATAGGTTGGCTTGAGAAGGTGGTTAAGAAACTTTGTTGCTGAGAAGCGAATTTCAGAGGCTCATCTGACAGGAAAAGCTTGGATCAGAGAGATACTTTGTCAAGAACACAAGTTCTTTTCAGAATGAGGGGGAGTGGAAGAAGCAGCTGTTTGAGCAAAGGAAAGGACACTTTTGACTGAGTCCTCTAGCAGGCTGGGTTTTTTCTTGGTCCCCTTGTTTTAAGCTCTGCAGAAATGCTTGGCGTAAGAGGTTCGTGTGCTTGGACAAACCCCAGCGTGGATGCTACACACTTGGGGGTGAAGCATTCCTTGCAGTGTTAGAGGACTTTGGAATTTTCTTCCCTTGGACTCAACGTTGCTTTCTGTCCATCTTGGGATAAGTCCTTTTTTTTCTTCTTCTTTTTTTGGCTAGGATTCCTTGGCCCTTTCAGGGCATGCTTTGTTCCCTAAACTATCCAAATACCTTTGGTCATACTTCTGAATGTCCCAATTCCATTCATTTGATGTTGAAAGGAGCAGATTGGCTTCTTTGGATGTTGATAGTTTTTAGTCCTAAGCATTGTAGGCCAGGTTGACGCTTGAACACTTGATTTACATGGTCTCAGGGAATTCTCACAAGAATATATCCATCCTAGAGGTTCCATTACTGCCTTCACTTCACATGTTTAAGGAACTTGCCCAATGTTTTAGTATCTCACTTTGGCACTTCTTGTGATACTGTTTGATTGAATCTATTTTCTGTACCTATGTCTTATTTTTTCTAACTCAAGTATAAATTTCATGATGAGAGTTGTATTGGCAGTTCGTCTGCTTACTAAATTGTTCTTCCTCAGATAATTTCTACTGGGCCTGAGGTTAAGAGCTGGGCCTAGAGTCAGTCCTGGACTCATGTTCCAGTTCTGCTGCTTCCTGCTGTGACCCTGTGGGCAGATTTTTTCCCATCTCAGCCTCAGTTTGCTAGTCTGTACAATGGGGGTTCTAATGAATCTCTACTGTATAAGTTTGTTAAATGTGTTTCAGTGACAGAGGAGCGGAAATGGAGAGCTTAGAAGAGTGGTGCCTGGCGTAGACGTTGCTGCCACAGAACATTAGGAGTGACTATTTCCTATTGCTCTCGTACTTTATAAGACCCTGGGGTACCCAGGCAGGTTTTGTAGTTGAGCAGAGAGGTGAGGGTTTGGTGAGGGCTGGTGGAGGCCCTCACCTTGGACTCTAGCTCTTTGCTGGGGAAATTAACTTTTTGAGGACCTTGACAACATCTCCTCACTTAGAGGTCGTCCCTACTTGGGCCTCCTTTTTCTTTTTTAACTTTTTGTTACGGAAGTTTGCTAACATATTTAAGTGAAAAGAATATCATAGACTGCCATCTACTCATCACCAGTTTCAGGTTACACACATTTTGCCAGTTTTGGTTCCTCTCACAACGTCCTCCTCCCTTTTGTACTTTAAAGTGTATCCCAGATCTCACCTTGTTTTACCCATCATTCTTCATTAGGAATCTTCAACTTAATTTTTTTTAACATAACCACAAGACTATAATCATGCCTAACAGAATTAACAGTAATTACTTAGCATCTCAAATACCCAGTCTGGGTTCAGATTTCTCCAGTTTCCCCCACATTGACTTCATACCCGGTCCTGGCACTGGACAGGCTGTCTGGCTTACGTTAAGTGAGGGTTTCATAGTGTGACTCAGGCTTCTCTTCGCCTGTGGCTGGTTTGTGCTGGCAGCTTGGGTGGTGTCTGTGATGTGGGCACGTTACCACTGAGATGTTGTGATGTCACAGAGCCAGTTATGACCATACCTGAGAATGTTAAGGGAGAGGGAGACACGGTGCACCCTTGCTCTTGATTTGTAGTTGGTAGTAAGGACACTGAAAAACATGTGCAAGACCCAGAAGTTTATTTCGAGAATTTCCTGCCTCTGAAAATCCCTCAGTGAGGTCCCCCCCCGCGGCTGCTTCACCACGTTCCAAATTGAGGGAAGGTCTCGGGGGCCTTCCTCAGGCATGAGCCCTGAGCCAGTTTTGTAAAGGAAAGGCTCCATGCCTTCGCTCCCAGTAAACAGCTGTCCCGCAGGGTCCGGACTTGGGGATCCTGGACTTCTGCATTTAGGCCTGTCGTTAAACATTTGAAGAGGCGGAGCCTCCCTGTAATACTTGTAATTTTGTCTCTAGTTAATGGGTCATTCAGAGCCTACCCAGGCAATTTGCTGAGAGTTTGGGCAGTTAATGACCATAACCCTGACCTTCACATTAACCTAGCTGCCTCTTGTCAAGGGCTCTCATGATCTTCAGGTAATAGCCACTGCTCCCGTGGGCTTTCACCTTTTTTGTTGTTTTGGTTTTTTTCCCCTTTTGTAACCCAGGTAGATCCACAAACTCAGACCTCTTTCAGCTTCCATCCAACTCTCTTGCCTAGAGAATTTCCATGTTGTTTGACTGCATTTTTATAAGGGACCTTTGTCCCTTTTTCCTGGGACTCAGCTCTCCCAGTGCCTTTTCCTCCTGGTCAGCCACTTGGTTACCTTCTGGTACCACCTAGATGAGAGCTGAGGAAGGAGGGATGTTAACTTGTCAGTTTCGACAGCAGGATTTATTGGGAGAGGATGGTGCACGCACAGACAGGCCAGGAGAAGTGGGAACTCGTTGGCCAGCAGTTAGCAGTGGCCCCCCGAGGGGAGTTGGCTGTAATAACTTCTTTCTCTATAGAGAGAATGCTTCCCGATAAGCATTCTAGCTGGTTTAGGACCACCCGTGTAGAGGTGTGCTCATGTTAGCTGGTTCTTAATATCAGTAGCTCCTTTTTGTCTGGTACTTACTTTGTGCCTGCCCCCCATGTCAGGGGCTTTATCCATGCTACCTCGTTTAGCCTCACAACCTCTTGCAGTAGGTACTACACTTATCCCATTCTACAGATGAGAAAACCAAGGCTCAGATCCCATGCCAAGAGTACATGCCAGGGAAGATGCTGAACCAGTTGGGTTACTTGGGCCACAGAAAGCAGCAGGATGCCCAAACCTGCAGACTGGTGGGTGGGGCCGGCCTACTTTGAAAAATGAGGTTTCTCTCCAGTACTGTTTTTGTTAAGCCCATGGTATGTGATGAACCTGACACACTTCTGTGCCCTGTGGAGTTGGCCTAGTAGGCATCCCTTAGAATGGACCCCCAGGTCCCTTCTTTGACCCAAGAATAAGAGCTGATGTTAACTCTGCAAATGGAAACTTAAATGCCCTGATTCTTAGTCCAGGAGGCACAAGGCATTGGCTTCTTCCCATTTCCTCTCAGGCACCAGTTCCAGGTTGGTCTCCCAGCGTGGTTGGTCTCCAGTCCCTGATGGCTCTGGCAGGCTGGCCCCGTCCGAGTCTCTGCCCAGGCCCGTGCTTTCTCCTCCATGCTCGTCTCAAGAGGGTTTGGCACGTCTAGATTGAAATGATTAGCACAGTGGGGCTCCCCCCACTTTTCTTGGGGGATTATGTCACAGTCTATTAAGCGTGCTCCCTCGGTATTTAATCCCACTCTGACATGGATTTTGCTGGCAGTCTGTTAAGTGGCACCACTTAGACCTGGTTGCTGTTTTGTGGAGGCAGCCTTTGTGCTGTCCTGTCAGCGGCCCATGGGATTTTTGCCTCCATCTCAGTTGATTTGATTTTCTTTCTTTCTTTTTCTGTTAAATGGAATCTGAAGAAAATAGACCCTGTATTCATGCAGGACATTTAACTGGGAGTCTCCAGTGTTATCCGGGGGCACTGTCCTCAGGTGACCAGAGGTGAGCCCAGGGCTCTGAAGAGTTGGAGAGTGTGGCATGACCAGATGGCACTGCGAAGGCACAGTGAGCAGTCGAGTGTCACCACCCTAGTGTCCTCTCTAATATCCTGTTCCCCTCTGGAAATCACCAGGGGTTTTTCATCCTATTTATTTTTCAAGCTTCTCCCAAGTCTAGGGAAACAAAGCTTTTAAGTATTTACTATCTAATTTGTAAAAGTTGTAGATTCTCTGTATCTGCTTGGGGCTATTTGTATAGATAACGCAGAGAATCCCTCTTTGGCTAGAAGTCTTTGTGGGGTGGATTTGAATGCTGTACTCCCTGCCTGGGATAAATCCTTGGGAATGAAAAGGCATTCTTCTGGCTTCATTCTTGATGATGGTTAAAGCTCTCAGAGTTGCTTGAACAATCTTTTGTCCCCTATCCCCGGGTGTTAGATGTGTGGCAGCAGGACAGGGATGCAGGCCTCAGCCCTGGGCAAGACCCTGGCTGCCCGTGCCCTCTGTCCTCACTGTGGGTCAGGGGGAGGGAGTGTCTGGGAATGCCAGCCTGCTCTGGCTTGGCTGCCCTGGTCACATATCATAGAAGCTGCCTTGTGGACTAGGTTTCTTGTCATTTGTACCTTTCCTACAAGGACAGTGCAGAACAGGAGATGCTCAAGGACTGGTACAGGGGAGATGCTCAGAAATATTTGTGGCATCAAGTAGGCAGTCAATGAATGGGCTCCCCCCTCCCCTTTCCGTCCTCACCAATCGAGGAAGAACAGTGAGCTGAGAGCCAGTTCTGGCTTTTTCCGCGTTGCCCCGTCTGTCTGACCTCAGCAGTCCCTTCACCTACTCTCCCTTTAAGTTCCTCCTGTTTGAGAATGAAAGCGTTGATGGTGTCTGCTGTTCCTTCCCACTCTGACAGGCCTCTCCTGGTCCCAGGAGGGTCTTTCGCTCTTAGTCTTGGGCTTTATTCTCTTTCATACAGGCTTCTGGGCCCCCAGGCAAGTTCCTGTCTTCCCTCCATCCCTGCTCTGACTCTGAGGATTGTACACCCTATCCTTCTCAGCTTTTTCCTTTCCAGACTGAAGTGTGGAGAGTGATGCTTTTTTTTTTTTTTGGCTTTTCTTCACAAAATACCGGCCCCTCCCTCTCTAGTCTGTCTGTGGGCCTTCTCCAGCTCCATAACGTCTGTCTATCTAGTTTGTCTGTCTCCTTGTTTTTCTCCTGAGGTGTGGTGACCTGGCCCACCCAGTTTCCCATCAGGGACACACTTCACATTTGCTCCGGGAACCACTCTCCCAGTGTCATGCAGAACCCCAGGCAGCTGCAGAAGTTTGCCATGCCACACAATAACCCCTTTTCCCTGAGCTGGGCCAGCTCACCAAAACCAGTTTCCCCAGTTAGGTGGTGCTTTTACTGTGGGTGAGGCCATTCCATCAGAGTTGCCTCCTCCCTTAGGAGCTTTGCTCCTTCTGCGGGCCGCACCCAAGCCAGAAGGTGCCTCACTGGTCAGGAATGCTGCCTTCTCCAGAGCTGACTTCCTGCAGGTCTGGCCCAGGACAACCCAGCGGTTTACAAGGCACTTGTTGATCACCTCTCTGTCTTGTTTCCTTTGAAACCTCAGGAGTTTTTGGTCCTGCATTCTGTGTTTGAGAGCTGCCCTTGACCTCTGCTGGGGTCACCATGGGGCTGGACCACTTGGGTTTTAAGCTGCTCCGACCCCTTTGAATTGCAAATGAGAATTAATAGAAAGGTCTCCTTGATGGTTGGGAAGCAGCATGTAGGCGCACAGAGGGAGGGATGCGAGTTGAAAGGGCTGTGAAGGGTCCTCAGAGAGGCTGTCAGATTGTTGCTTCTCCACAGAGTCTGTTAGGACCTTCGGGGCTCCGGGGCCGGGCTCGCCCGATGAGCTTGTTCCCACGCTGACCTGGTCCCATCTGAACATCTGGGGCCTTTTCTGCCTAGATAAATTCTCTTTGTAGTTAGCCTTTTAGGTTGTGGGTTCATTATGTGACTCTCTCTTGGCTGCATTCTCCTTGTGGGTCTTAGTTAATTGAGAAGGAAGTTTTTATGTTGTCACACGTACTTTAACGTGGTCATGCATGAGCAACTTTGGGAGCTTTAAATTTTTTTTTAACATTTATTTTTTTTAAACCAACTCCTGTACTTGTGAGAACTGTGTCTGTGGGTTTGGCTTAAGAACTGGATTCTTTTTCTAGCTGTTCCTTTTTAACCCTATTTATCCCCTCACCCCCACCCCACGCCACCCTATAGATATTCAGATGCTCAGGATGTCCTGTTGGCAGCACCTCTGAGGTTTGGAGAATGCTTTTACTTTTCAAAGTACTAGAGATTGAGGTGACATGTGTGGGAGTTGACAGAGTCTGGAAATTTACAGGATGGGGAGCCAGGAGGGATACCCGGAAGTGAGGCGAGTCAGGTGGGAAACGGGGGGTCAGCAGCAGGTAGGGGGTGACCCTTTCTGCAGGTGCTCTGACAGCCATCATGTGGGGACCCCAGGAGGAGTCTGGGGCCTGGCACCCTTCCCCTTTGTGTACCTGCTCAACTCTCCCCACGCCTCTGGCCCAGAGCCGTGGAGCTGACGGTGGGTCAGACCTGGAAACCTGGGGACCGGAGCCTGTTCACCAGTGGTAGTACCTTTAGTCCACGGTGCCCTCACCCACCCCCGTGTCCCCCAGGCCTCTCGCCCTCAGCTTGAGGCGCGTGTTCCTGATGGCCTTGGCCAGCCCAGAGCCCTTGCTGATTTCCTCTCAGACCCCGTGTTCACGTCGGCTTTGGGGTTGGTTTGCAGGGAAGATGGTGAGTTGGAGGAAGGTGAACTGGAAGATGATGGGGCCGAGGAGACCCAGGACACCTCTGGAGGCCCGGAGAGGAGCCGGAAGGAGAAGGGGGAGAAGCACCACAGCGATTCTGATGAGGAGAAGTCTCACCGGAGGCTGAAGCGGAAGCGGAAGAAAGAGCGGGAGAAGGAGAAGAGGAGGTCCAAGAAGAGGCGGAAATCCAAGCACAAAGTAGGTCCCGGAGGGCTGGCTGGGCCTGCTGCTGGCCGAGCGCCCCGGGGCTGAGCTGAGCTTGTCAGGCCCGAGGGCACTCTTTAATTAATCTTAACTGTTGTTTTTCCTTTCCCCTGAATTGGATAAAGACCTTTTCTAAAAGCTCAGTAGCTCATGCTCCATTGCCTATGAATGCCCCTAGGTGAGGTGGTTCACACAGAGTCCAGAGCCCTTCCGGCACATTCCACACTGGTCTGGTACAGCCAAGGCTCTAAATCCACTGCCCCTGTCATTGCAGCGCCATGCTTCTTCGAGCGATGACTTCTCTGACTTCTCGGATGACTCGGATTTCAGCCCCAGTGAGAAGGGGCACCGCAAGTACAGAGAGTACAGCCCCCCGTACGCGCCGGTGAGTAACTGCAGGTCAGGGGCCCCACGGAGCCAGGAGCCGGCAGTAATGAAGCTGCCTGTGTATCCTGAGCATTTGCTCTGTGCTGGCATTTTTGCCTGGCACTTTACGTGGATCTTAATTCTGCAAGATTAGGTATTGTTTTTATCCCCATTTTATAGATGAGAACACTGAGGCTTAGAAAACATCAGCCAGGTTGCACAGCTCGGAAGTGCAGGAGCTGGGGTTTGAACCCAGTCAGGGACTGACCTCTAAATGCCATGCTCTTCAGACTTCTCCATGCCATCTCTCCCTGGGCCTTGGCAGCACTCATTATGTCCCCTGTCCCTCAAAAGACGATTATTTGTCCCTGTCACAGCTGACTCTTCTCCACTGCTCAGCAATGACCTTTTGTGGAAAATTGGCGAGAGAATGAAAGAATGATGGGAGTAAATCATCTCAGATGTTGTGGGGTCAGGAGTTAAATACTTATTCTGTTATATCACTGAGTCTGAGCATAAATTTATATTATTTGTCTGGTTTGTATACTATTTTTTTCCCCCAGCAAAACCTGTAAGAAATCAACACAGTTTTTTCAAGTTTTTATCAAAAATACTTTTAAAGCTAGTTGTTCTTAAAGATGTCCCAGGTACCCTGTGACTCGGCATCATCCATCATAATAGGTGATTTATCCTAAGATATCAGAGTTGATGTTGATCTGCTGACGTAGATTCAAACATTAAACCTGAGGGAGGCAGGGAATGGAGGGAACACCACGAGCTTTGGTGGGAAACTAGGTCTGGAGGCATTTTAAGATCTGCTGAAAGAGCCTTGTACATCTCTGTCTGTGTTTTGTATTTTCTCTTAATAATGAGAATGGATTTTTAAAATTAAGACTTTATTTTTAGAGCACTTTTAGGTTTATAGAAAACTGAGCAGATAGTCCAGTTCCCTCCCCACCCCACCTAGTTTCCCCTGTTATTAACATCTTGCAATACAATGCATATTAAGTATTCACCGTATACTATCCTGTAAAGTAGTTCCGATTCTTTCATAGGGCTCTGTGCTTCACCTACTCATCACTCCTCTCCGAGCCCCTAGCAAACCACCAGTCTTTTTACTGTTTGTATAGTTTGCCTTTCCAGGATGTCATATAGTTGGACTCGTACAGTATGTAGCTTTCCCAGATTGGCTTCTTTCACTTAGCAACGTGTGTTCACAGTTCCTCCATGTCTTTCGTAGCTCCACGGCTCATTTCTTGTAATCGCTAAATACACCACTATCTGGATGTACCACAGTTTCTTTATCCATTTACCTACTGAAGGACATCGTGGTAGCTTCCATTTCTCTGTGTGTGTGTGTGTGTGTGTGTGTGTATTTCTTAACTTCACTCAGTATCTCTTGAGTACTAGTACACTTTGGAAAGCATCATTTAAAGTGGTTTTGTGGTTTGTCAGGCAATTGTTAACTGAATTCCAAGGCTCCAGGGAAATTCTGGCTAAGGATACCCCTCTTGCCTACCAGGCCTCCTCCCCAAATGAGACTGTTCTATATCCCTGGGAAGTACCCTCTTTTCTGTCTCTAGTTCTTCAGGGATTGTGGGCTCTGTGTTTCTCTGTTTTCTTTAGAGCTGTGGCCCTTTCTGAAGAACAAAAACATATAGGCCCATTGCCCAGATCATACTCAGGTGGGAACCCTGGGGGCTAGCATCTCACTGCAGGGACAGCAGAGACCCTCAGGGAGCTGTGCCAGGTCAGGGAACAGTGGGGATCTTGGTGGTCTGGACCCTAGGCCCCAGGGCCAGCTCACCCTTCTCTCCTGTCAGTCCCACCAGCAGTACGCCCCGTCGCACACCACGCCCCTGCCCAAGAAGTCCTACTCCAAGATGGACAGCAAAGGCTACGGCATGTATGAAGACTACGAGAATGAGCAGTACGGGGAGTACGAGGGCGACGAGGAGGAGGACATGGGCAAGGACGACTACGACGACTTCACCAAAGAGCTGAACCAGTACCGGCGCTCCAAGGAGGGCAGCAGCCGGGGCCGAGGTAAGACCCCGGAGCCTCTTCCCCAGGGCACCAGAGCCGGGCTAGGGGCTGGGGGTGCTGTGCAGAACAAGAAAGATCTGGCTGGCCCTGCGCTTGTGGGGCGTCAAGTCTGGGAGAAGAGGCAGGCAGTAATTTAGGGCCAATATAAGTGGAGAAGGAGATGGGTAAGAAGAGGTCCAGTGCTGAGGCTGGGGTTGGGATGGAGCCAGACTGGTAGGAGGCGAGGAGAAGGCTGCTGCGGCTGATGGTTGTTTTTAAACTCACTTCCTGGTAGCCTCTCTCACATCTGGGGCATGGAACTGACAGCTGGCTGCTCCAGCCCTCAGTCACCTCTGCCCCCATTCTCCGTCTCCCATCACCTGACAAGGTGTGATTACAGCTCACGGGACCGCCACACCTCTGAACCTTGAACCTGTGGCAGTTAGGAGGATGGTGGGGGAGGGCGGAGCACCAGAGCCCCAGCCTGGCCTCTTAGAACCATCTCCTGCCAGGGATATTTCCCACCCCTAGAGGGCTTCTAGAATGTTCCAGCTCAGCGGTTTTAACCCTGCTGGAGGCCCAGCTTGTCGTCTGAGTGGCTGTGCACTCATTTTCTCTTTCAGTGGTCTTTTCTTGGACACCTCCTTGAATAGGCCCTTCTCCTGAGGGAGATTCTGGACTGGCACTGTCCAATAGAAATGCAGTGCAAGCCAGCATGTCATTATAAATTTTCTAGTGGTCACATTAAAGAAGTAAAAGGAAACAGATGTAATTAATTTTAACAATACATTTTATCAATCCTGATACATTCAGAATCTTATTTCAACATGTAATCAAATGTGGTATTTTATATTTTTGCTTTTTTTTTTATTTTAAACTAAGTCTTTGAAACTTAGTGTGCACTCCACACTCACAGCCTTTCTGAGTTTGGTCAGCCACGTTTCAGGTGCTCGGTAGCCACGTGTGGCTGGTGCCACAGCGTGTGGTGTAGTGAGTGCCATAGTGGGTGTGTGTCGCAGTGCTGAGCCACCCGCATCGAGGAGCCCAGGGACTACTAACTAGTCAGCCTAGAGTAGCTGGAAGGGCTTCTTGGAGGAGGAATAGGAAATGGTTGACCTTAGGGGCAGACAGTGGATTAACTTCTCTCTTGCTAGTAGGTTTTGCTCGCTCAGGCACTTACTGTCTGAATCACCGTGCAGGCAGCCGAGGCCGTGGCAGGGGCTATCGGGGCCGAGGAAGCCGCGGAGGGTCTCGGGGCCGAGGCATGGGCAGAGGCAACCGAGGCAGGGGCAGGGGCTCCGTGGGAGGAGACCACCCAGAGGATGAAGAGGACTTCTACGAGGAGGAGATGGAAGTAAGGTTTTCTCTGGCTCGGGGATGGGGTGGGAGTGGTGGTGGGGTGGCTGGTGGGCTGAAGGCTCTGTTGGGAGTGGCCTGTAAGACTGAGGTGGAAAGACAGGATCAGCTGGCAGGTTTATATGTTTTAAAATGCTTGTTTATTATTTGGAATAGAGAATACCTTCCTATGGTTCAAAATTGAAAAAGTACCGAAGGGTGAGCTGTCAAAACACCTTCATCCCACTGCTCTCTCAGAGACTTAGTTCCCATCCTTGCTACGAGCTACCATGCTCACTGTTCTGTCCCTGCCCGAGGCCTTTCCATGCTGCTCTTTATTCTTGCTCCATAGCTACCACTTGGGAGTTGCCCAGGGGGCTGGAGTTCTGAGAGTGAAGACAGCAAGGAAGAGGACTCGGACACACTTAGGCTGGGGCCTGTGAGGAGGGGGCATGTATGTGAGTCCCTGGGTCGCTTACCTGCCCTGAGTGTGACATTGTCCTGAATACACAAAAAGGCAGAAAGAGGCGGAGTGTATAGTTAAGAACATTCTTTGTTGTTCCCCAAATGACACTTCTCTTGCTTTCCTTCCCTCCGGAATTCCAGTATGGAGAAAGTGAGGAGCCGATGGGAGATGAGGATTATGACGATTATTCCAAGGAGCTGAACCAGTACCGCCGGTCTAAGGATAGCCGGGGACGAGGTGGGCAGGGAACAGGAGGGTCAAGTCAGCGGGGCTCCTGCTGGCAGCTGCTGGGCTTGGGTCCTGGGGAGAGGCCGCAGGCTAACGTCGTTTCTCTCCTCTGCAGGGTTAAGTCGAGGCCGTGGCCGGGGTTCCCGAGGTCGAGGGAAAGGCATGGGCCGGGGCCGCGGCCGTGGGGGCAGCCGAGGAGGGATGAACAAGGGCGGGATGAACGATGACGACGACTTCTACGACGATGATGTGGGCGTGAGTTGATGCTTCATTCTGATCTGATGTTTTTCATCAAGGCTCCTTCTTGAATTTTTTTTTTTCCTTTAATGAGTTGTCCTCTGAGGCTGATCCTTTTCCCCCAGCTCCTATCAGTCCTTCCCAGTAGGGCTATAAGCACTAATCATCTCTCATGGGGCATGCGCTGCTGGAGAGACCCTCTGTTTTCTAAACCACATCTTTGTAGCACCTGCAGTCACCTGTTCTCTGGGTCCCCGAGGCTCTGAAGGTTCTAGGTGAGCCATCCAGTGAGCCCTAGAGAATTTGACAGGAAGGCCGCATACCTTCCTACACAGGTGTGTGGTGCTCCGTCTTCAGCTGCCCACAGCTCCGAGTGCCAGAACCTTCCTCATCTGAGTGCCAACACTCCTGCTGTGGGGCTTACACCCCACACAGCCTGGTGTTGGCTGAAACTTGTCGGTCAGCGCTCTTGTTACACAGGGGAATACTCAGCCCTGCCAGCCAACCTCTTTCTTGCTCTCATTGGCTTGGAACCCATCTCCCCTAGGCCTGCACAGGCCCCTCTCCCTCTTCCTGTTCACTCCCCTTGACATTCACACTCAGTGTTCCTAATAGGATGGTGGTGGAAGCTACCGGAGGAGTGACCACGACAAGCCCCACCAGCAGTCTGACAAGAAAGGCAAAGTCATCTGCAAGTACTTCGTGGAAGGGCGATGCACATGGGTAAGGGGCCAGTCCCTGTCCCAGGAGACCTGGAGCAGGCCAGCAACCCCCCCGTCCCCCCAGAGGACACACGGGCCACTGAAATGTTCCAGAGGCCACACTCACTGGGAGCAGTTTTCCAATGGGCTTGGAGTGATTAATTGAGAGATGCCAGGGAGCCAGGAAGACGTCATTCACTCTGAGTGACTGAAGAGCCAGAATAAGATTGGTGACACATTTGGGTGTTTTTGGTTTGGGAGGATTTTTTTGGCCAAAATTTTCGCCCAATCCATATGGCCTCTAATGTTTTAGTAGGATTGATGCTAATGCAAAGGTGCAACGTATCCTGGTTAAGTTATGAACTTTAATGTGAGAGAAGGAATCATTAGGGCATCCAGATAGAATTCTGTGAGGGGGGGAATCAGGCCAACCTTGAACTTCACAGCAGAGCATAATGCCAGCACATGGGCCAGTGACCACAGAGTTCTGAAGGAAGCAAGCATAATCCAGGGTTAGTGCAGGAAGCCAGCTTTTTATTCAAATACAAAGGCAGCAGGCAGATATTGGCAAGCATGTGCTCAGGGAATACTGCACCTGTGTATCTGTCTTAGGAAAAAATACTGTGTTTCAAACAAAGGTATATGTATGCATAAACTATTCCTTATTATTGTTGCAATTCATATTATTTATAGAAACTTGAAATGCATATAAACAAAGGGAAATGAATAGCCATTCCTAAGAGAAAGGGGGAATGGATATAGAACAGTTTCTCTCTTCAGTTCACCTGGATGTTGTTTTGTTTGGATTGTACAGTTTGAGTGCAAATAGTGGAAAACTCAACACCACTGGCTTAAACACATAGACATTTGTCTCTTAGAACAAAGAGTCTGGGGCTAGGGAAGACACTATGGGCAATGGTCAGCAGCACCCTGGGGGGACCCAAGTTCCTTTCTACTTTTTATTCTGCTATCATTAGACATGTGGTTTTTGTCCTTATGGTTGCTAAATGGCTGCTGTGCCTCCTGGTATCACATCTTAGGACTAGGAGGAAGAAAAATGAATGAAGGGATTTTTTTTTCTTAATCAAGGCAGTGTTGTCTTCCCTGGGGACTTTTGAGTACATCTCTTCGGCCAGAACTGAATTTTTTTAGCTGGGCACAGACAAAATTGGGGTTCTGTTAGAAAGGAAGAAGGATAAAACGAGGTCCTGGCTGTCATGCAGCAAATACTGAAAAACAGTAAGTGGGTAAGAGAGGAGAGAGAAGGGGAGGAAAGAGGAGGAAGAATTAGAAGGAAACAGTGAAAGGCAGCAGGTTGGAGACAGGAGGACCAGGACCAGGGGCGAGAGAAGGGAGCACACACTTTGGCAAGGGTTTAAAATTAGTGGGAAGCTGCATTTATGAGCCTGCCTTTCCTGGGCCTCCTGCCCTTTCCAGATGTGTGTGGCGGGGGCGAGGGACGGACAGATTTGTTTCTGTCATTGGTCCCTCTGTGCTTCAGCTGTGACAGAGCAGTACTACTTTTTGCAAACACCTTACCTTTTCATTGCTTCCAGGGAGACCACTGTAATTTTAGCCATGACATCGAGCTACCAAAGAAGCGAGAACTGTGCAAGTTTTACATCACTGGATTTTGTGCCAGAGCCGAGAACTGCCCCTACATGCATGATATCCTTTGGTGCACACATCTGATCTGATTGAGTGTGCAGAACTCCTTTCTCCGTACTGGTAGTAACAGCTGGCCTTCAGTATGCTTTTGCTCTGCGTGCTGGTGCTGTGCCAGGAGCTTTCTGTGCTCCTCCATCTCTTTTAACCCTCACATCTGCCCTGTGACTGGTCTGCTGTTCCCGTCCTGCAGGTGAGTAAACTGAGGCACACATGCTATATATTCACTTTACATATACAGGTGACCCTTGAATAATGTGGGTTTGAACTGCGTGGGTCCACTTATACACTGATTTTTTTTTCCATAGTAAATATTACAATATTACACGATCTGCAGTAGGTTGGATCTGCAGATGCTGAACTGAGGGTTCGGGGGCCTGTTGTAAATTACATTCAGATTGTTGGCTGTGCAGAGGGTTGGTGCCCCTAACCCCCATGTTGTTCAGGGGTCAGATGTACTCTTGAGACTGGCCTGTACCCTTGCCTGTTATCTTTCTGAGTCTTTTCCAAATGGCTAAGTAACCTTGGGCAGATCATCGAACTTACTCCCTTTTTCTGCTGAGTGAGGATCTGAGGACACAGCCTGAAGGCCAACGTGGTGAGGCTAGAAGTACTCTGAAGCAGGAGTCTTGTGAACCGGGGTCCCACCTTGGATCAGCTGCTGGTCTGCTGTGCAACCCTGAGCTAGTCACTTCACCTCTCTGGGCTTCAGTTTCCTCCTCTCTAAAACAAAGGAGCTTGGATTCTGTCCTCGGGCGGGTTTCATGAGATGAAGCATTTTCCTTAATTTACTGTGTACGTGACTTTCCGTGTAAGTTATACCACACGACTGGAAACTGCATCAACGGTGACGACTGCATGTTCTCCCACGACCCTCTGACTGAGGAGACGCGAGAGCTCTTGGATAAGGTAACATCCAGGCCAATGCCAGCTGTAGCTCGTGGGAACCAGGAGGTGTGCTTCCACTGACTTGGGGCTGCAGCCTGCCTGGCTGGCCTCTGCAGGACCAGATTTCCCAGTTGCATTGATCTGGAGCTGGGCCATTTTCAGGAGGAAGTGGAAACTGTGTTCTTCCCTGCAGGGAGAATTGAGGTGGTCACACTTGTATCTTTATCTCTGGCCTGGTGGTTTTTGTTGAGGGTCGGCTACCTGAAAGGAATGTTGCCTGGTGTGTCTCTAGACATGCTTTATGATTTCTTAGCTATCCTTGAGGGAGAGCCCATGGTATACAAAGAGGAGGTGAGACTTGGGATGGGCTCTGTTTTGATGTAAAGGTCAGTGTTTCTTTCCAAGTCTTAAGGATTCTTTTATGTGGTAGAAAAGTAAAGGGAAATTGGAGGCTCTCGGGATGGGGAGACTTCCTTTAGTGAGGTATCAGGGCGTCCTCACGTCACCAGCCAGGTGGCATTTGAAACTCATTCTCCTATCTGTTATTCCCCTGAAGGACAGGCTGAGGACCTTGGGGCCCCTCAGGTTCTTGTGCTTGGTTTTTTGACATCCATCCGGGGGCTGAATGGGTGAGAGAACACGTGTCCTTCCCAGTGAAGCTTTTCCTGCCTTCATCTGGTTCCCAGAAGGTTTGAGGAGTTTGACTGTTTTTTGAGAATGGAAAGAATCAGCGCCTCAGCCAGCCTTAGGAATCCCTGCATCTGGGGCTGCACTGATTAAACAGCGGCCAGGGCTGCGTGAGGGATGGAGGGGAGGCCCCGAACAAACAAAGCAGGAGAATGCCCACCCCTCATTGGGAGAGCAGTTGTGGAGCAGGTTCTTATCTTTGCCAGGCCCTTTGACCTATTATCCCAGGAACAGGGTTTGTAATCCATAGCTATCTAGAGTCTGTGAGTTGTCCCACAGGGGAACTAGTGGGAGAAGTAATGGCGACTTCATTTCTCATTTGAGGAAATAAACCATCTCTGACTGAGGACTGCCCTCTGCTGGAGGTTTACAGTTTGCACTCTAGACCCGTGCTCTCCAATAGGAATACCTCAGAGCCACGACTCAAACATTTCTAGTATAGTGTTCGCTTTGGCAGCACGTATATTAAAATTTTGTAGTAGCCACATTTAAAAAAGTAAAAAAGAAATAGATGAAAAATAAAGTTACCAATATATCTTATTTAACCTAGTGTGTCCATGTCCAGAGTACAATTTCAGCAGGTAATAAAATGATGAGAAAATTACAATGTTTTATATTCCTCTTTTTTTGTCCTGCATCTTGGGAATCTGGTTGTAGCCACATTTCAGGCACTCAGTAGCCTCACATGGCCAGTGACCACCATGTTGGACAGCACAGCTCTAGACGCCTTTATAAAACCCAAAGCAAATCAAGGTGGCACATTTTAGTTTCTGGCCACAAACATTTGAAAGCATCAGTATCACCCCTTGTCTAAAGTCAAGTCTCAGGTTAAAAATGAGTTGTTGAAACTGGAAAAACCATTCCAGAGTATAATTTGGGTGATCAGAAAGTAAAACTCACAATAAGCCTCTACAAGATTAACCCTGATAAAGGCTTGGGGTCAGCCATTTCCTTCTCTCCTAGACAGGGTTGCAGCTTGGTCAACCAGGGCTGGGGCCTGAGGCCCCAGGGCAGCCCTTGGGTCCAAGCTGTGGTACCACTTATGATGGGGCCTTAGCCGCCCTCTCCCAAAGTGTCGACGCTCTCTTTTCCTCTCTTTTCTTCAGCTTTATTTTGCTGCTTCTCGGTGACATTTCTGTCTGTCCAGATACATCAGTTTCCAACTGTCCACTTGGTTTGAGACGTGCCTGCCTTTGGGGTTGTCAGTGACTGTTCGAGTGAATAGCAAGAATAATACAAAGAAGTCCATCCATGTAGATTCATCTGTTAGCATTATTTTGCCCCATTTGCCTTACCACTTGTTTTCATTTTAGTATATATACATGTGCATGTTTTTTTTCTTTGAGCCATTTGAAGGTAGTTGCATACATTATGGTTCTTTACCCTTAAATCATTCAGTTATTGCTGTGTGTGTGTGTGTGTGTGTGTGGGTGCGCGCGCGCGGGTGCGTGTGTGTATACAGTCAGGTTTGTCAAGGTATAGTTTGTATCCATTAAAATTTGCTGTTTAGCTCTATGAGTTTTGACAAACAGAACCATGTGACCACCTCCCAGTCTATATAGAGGAAATTCATTCCATCACCCCCGAACCTCCCTTCTATATAGTCAGCGCCTGTCCCATCTCCAGCCACTGATCTGTTTTCTGTCTCCATAGTTTGCCTTTTCAAGAAAGTCATATAGATAGGTTTACATAGTATGCAGCTCTGAACATGTGTGGTTTATATAGCCTTTTGATCTGGCTTTCATTCAGCATGATGCATTTGCAATTCATCCACATTGTTGCAAGTGTTGGTAGTTCATTACTGTTTGGTGCTGAGTAGTACTCCATCCTAGGGATGATCTAAGATTGTTCATCTAGTCATCACTTGAGGAGCATTTGGTTTGTTTCCAGTTTGGGGCAGAAGCTTAGAATTTTTAACCTACTAATGTGAGCTTATTTCTTTGGCCTGATAAACCTTGGCCCACACATCTTTGTGTATCTGCAGGTGTGGCAGTCCTTTTCCTTTGAGAGGATACCTCTGGCTTTTGGAAACCCTGAATCAATTCAGAATCCATCCTGGTAGGGGAGGTTGTCGGACCCTAGCAGGGCCCTGGTTGTATGGTGTGAGGGGCTCAGCAGCTGCAGGGAGGCCCAGGAAGGGACGCACAGGAGGCTCTAGGGATAGCTGGGCCCTCCATGGCATGTGTGTGGACGGACCGTGGGGATGGTTTGGTTCAGTTTTCCTAGGGGAGTCGACATTTCCCCTGGTGTGTTTTGTGCGTAGGTGTCCTAGGCTCTGATACAATTCAGCCCTGGCCTTTGGGGCAGCACTGGCGGAGCAGGGCAGGTGGTGGGTAGACAGATGAGGACAGGGAGCTGGTCTGCATCCCAGGCCGGGGTCCTCGTCAGGATTTCACGGGGTCTGTGTGAGGGCTGAAGGGGCTGTCCTGGGACAGGAGGAGGCATCCTTCAGCTGGTGAGGAGAGGTGAGACCCCCACCTGGCAGGATGGGAGGTGGAAGCCCCACTTGCTCACAGCTCAGTGCTGGGAGCTGCTGCCCACCGAGTGGTGCCACCAGTCCTGAAATGGGTCGGGGGGAGTGTGGCGCCCTCCAGGGGCCGAGGAAGTTATGGTCAAGTGTGTTTCTGTTTAATGAGGTAATGAGGTATATAACCTTGTTAGGTTTTTCCTGAACCTGAGGGCATTGAGTTGTCATTGAAAGGATCTCACAGTGCCGGGGCTGGGCTACTTCCGTGACTAGAGGTGGCTCTGTGTGCAGAGATGGGGAGACCAGACAGCAGGCAGAGGCAGGATTCTGGTCAGAGTCAGAGGGCGGGGCCGAGGAGGGCCGGTGAGCCACTCAAAAGGGCTGGGCTGAGGCTGCAGGCCAGTGTTTGGGTGTGGGGATGAGAGAGGAGGAGTTGGGGATACACCCTGATCCTGGCTGGAAAGTGAGGAGGTGGAGGGTCCATCATTCACAGAACCCAGCTGGTGGCCTGTGGAGGAGCAGAAGGTGCATGGAGTGAGGTGTGGCCAGATGAAAGTGGTATCTGTCGTGTAGCTCTGGCCAGGGAGGTTGTGTGGGAGCCCCAGCCCAGAGCCAGCAGGAACTGAAGGTTAGGGGTGGGCAGGTCCCCAGGCCGGGGAGCAGGGAGGCGCTGTGCAGGTTGACAGCTGGAGGGGAACACAAGTAGTCACGTCGTCCAGTCAGAGCCTTAACTCTTTCATACCCCTGTGCCGCCAGCCCCGCCCTCCCATCCTCTAAAGTCCAGGGAATACAGAGGGAGATGCCGTTGTTTTCCTCGCTCATTTACTTAACAGCTGTGTGGTCCTACCTAGTTTGTGGCAGGCACTATCTCGGGTACTGGGGATGCAGTGATGAGGTAGGATCCAGTCAGCAGCTAGATACTGATAACCCATGGGCTTGGGGCAGTGGAGGGAATGTGCAGGGAGCCCAGAGGCCCTTGAACAGGCTGACCCTCAGGGAGGCTTGGTGAGGAGGTGACACTGTGCTGGCCCCCAGGTGAATGGCAGGTGAGGGAGGCATGGGCTGGGCAGGGGACAGTGTGAGCAATGGCTGTGGAACCAGAAGGGGCCAGCTGGCTGGCAGGGAAGCGAGTGGAATGCGGGGCTGTGAAGCAGTCAGGGCTGCCTCCATGGCTGTGACCGGGCCGCAGTCCCACTGAGAGCAGTGCTAAAGGACACACGAGCTGCTGGGCTCTCCCCAGCACAGCTAGTCCTGGGCGGTGTTTCCCGTGCTGCAGTGGACACGTGAAAATGTGGTCCTGGCTCAGTGGGCCCCCTGGGCTGCTGGTCCCCAACAAGACCACACCATGAGTAGCAGGGCTCTGAGGGACAAGTGTTTTCCACTGATCAGTCTTCCAAGTTTTCCGTCCGTCTCAAAACCAGATTCTTTTTGGACCTTGCTGTCCCTGGGTCCATATACTGTTGCCGATGGTATGGAGAGAAAAAAGTCGAGAATTGCCTGACAGCTGCCGGAGAGCTGGCCTCTGCCACCCACACCCCCATCCTCCCTGGGTGGAGGAGCAGGAAGCGTTGTCTTGAGCACTGCTGAGGCCCAGATGCCGGGGGCGAGGCATCTCAGAGCTGCATTTAGGATCCACTAGGGCATCTGTGCTGAGGTCCCTAAGACAACCCAGGCCCAGGATGCACGATTTGCTGGGGAGACTCCCAGGGCCAAGCACATAGTCCTACTCGTGGCCAAGGTTTTACTCCAGTGAAAAGACACAAAGCAGAGCAAGCAAGGAGAGAGGCATAGGGGTGAAAGCCGAAGAAAGAAGATGCCAGCTTCCAAGAGTCCTCACCCCATGGTGTCACACGGGACATTGCTTAACTTCTCAGGCTGTGACAGCACGTATGGAATGTTGTCCACCGTGGACATGCGTTAGAGACTGAGCACCCAGGTTAATCAGTCAGGGAATGATGGGAACCGTCCTGAAATCCAGGTTCCCAGCACCAGCCAAAGGCCTGCCTTGTAAACTTCTGCACAGGATCCTAATCGGTGACACGTTCTGCTTGAATCCAGACTTTGAAATTGTCCATCTACCCTGTATCAGGTCCTGTGATAGGCCCTGGAGGTGCCTCTGGGCACGAAACAGTCCTGCCCTCAGGGAGTTGGTAGTCATTGGGCCAGGAATAAACAAAATAAAAAGCTTTTACAAAGCTTGTGCTTTCAACAGAGCTGATAGTGTTCCAGTAGTGAGTACAGGAGACCAGGAGAGTTACTCTGAGTTGACCTTTAATGAGAGAACCCAACAGTTGGGGGACGCAGACCCATACAGTTGGGAACGGAGGGAAAAGCAGATGGCCAAGCCAGGGCCCTGCAGGGGAAGGACTTGAGCTGTCTGCAGAACTGAAACAGGGCTGGGTGCTTGGGGTGGAGGAGTCCAGGCACAGTGGACAGAAGGAATTGAAGCCTCCAGGGTGCTGTGAGATCCTCCCCAGGCACCCAGCCCTGCTCCCAGGCCCTGTGGGTTCTCGTAAGCGATTGGGGTTTAATTGCAAGTGCAGTGAGAAACCCTTAAAATCCAAGCAGAATGAGGGCTATTAGTCAGCCCTGAGATAGATAAAATAGATGACACAGCTACGACACGGATCAACCTTGAAAACATCACACTGAGTGAAAGAAGCCAGTCACAAAAAGCCGTATATTGTAGGGTTTCATTTGTATGAACTGTTCAGAATAGGCAAATCTATAGAGACAAAAAGTAGATTAGTGCTTGCTGGGTCTGGGAGGAGGGAGGAATGGGGAGTGACTGCTTAATGGGTATGGAGTCTTCTTTTGGGGTGATGGTAAAGTTCTAGAACTAGATAGAGTTGGTGGTTGTACACCATCCTGAATGTATTTAACGTTGTTGAATTGTATGCTTGAAAATGGCAAAATAGTACATAGTACGTTACATGTATTTTGCTGCAAAATAGAATGGCTCCCGTCAGCTGGTGGCTGCAACAGTGGTGTGGGACGATGATTTTTGTACCAAAGAGGCTTTGTGGTCATGGGCCTCGTCCCGTTAAGGGCCTCAGGGTCGTCAAAAGCTTTCCTCAGAAAATTTGGCTCTCAGCCCTGGAGAAGTGCCTTCCAACCCGACTGTTCTCCTGTCCTGACTCCCACTGTTCTGTCCTTCTCTCCCACAGATGTTGGCGGATGACGCGGAAGCGGGCGCTGAGGATGAGAAGGAAGTCGAGGAACTGAAGAAGCAGGGCATCAACCCCCTGCCCAAACCTCCCCCCGGCGTGGGCCTCCTGCCCACTCCGCCCCGGCCCCCCGGCCCCCCAGCCCCAACCTCTCCAAATGGCAGGCCCATGCAGGGTGGCCCCCCGCCCCCACCCCCACCCCCTCCTCCACCCCCCGGGCCCCCGCAGATGCCCATGCCGGTGCACGAGCCGCTGTCCCCACAGCAGCTGCAGCAGCAGCAGGACATGTATAACAAGAAGATCCCCTCCTTGTTTGAGATCGTGGTGCGACCCACGGGACAGCTGGCTGAGAAGCTGGGTGTGAGGTGAGGGGGCTGTTCTGGGCTCAGCTGGTCTCCTCTGTGCCAGGGGCCTGTCACTAAGCCTGGCCGGGCCAGCGTCCTGCCTCTGTCCACGGCTCCAGGGTCCTGGTCTGGAGCCCTCTGTGTCTCCTCCAGGGTGTGGCTACCATCCTTCCTCCGCAGCCCCTCTCACAGGCACTATTTTCTCCTCTTCTAGGTTCCCTGGACCCGGAGGACCCCCAGGGCCAATGGGCCCCGGGCCCAACATGGGACCCCCAGGGCCGATGGGCCCAATGCATCCGGACATGCACCCTGATATGCATCCTGACATGCATCCAGACATGCACCCCGACATGCACCCCGACATGCCGATGGGCCCTGGCATGAACCCTGGCCCGCCCATGGGACCTGGAGGCCCCCCAATGATGCCCTATGGTCCTGGAGACTCCCCACATTCTGGAATGATGCCTCCCATCCCACCAGCCCAGAACTTCTATGAAAACTTTTACCAGCAACAAGAGGGCATGGAAATGGAGCCAGGACTCATTGGGGATGCAGGTATGCAGGGCTAAAGTGGGGGCCAGTTGGGGCTGCTGGGGTTTGCACATGGAGTGTAGTTAGGAAGATCTGCTTTTTCTTCCTTGGTCTGAGTCTTTGAAAACATGAATCCAACTCCATCTCTGTCCCGTGAGTGGTTGAACGTTTTCAGTGATGTGGGATTCACTACCCTGTTGAGTCTAAAAGGAGTATTATGATGATCATCACTATAACTTAACTTCCTTCCTTACGCATTTTGCTCAGTTTGCCTGGGATGGGAGCGTAGGAAGTTGGAGGGCAGTGCATAGTGGTGTTGAACTGCAAGCTGAGGTGCCGTCGACCAGAGTGGTCTCCTTCCAGGTGGTCCTTGGCTTGCAGCTGCCTTGCAGCTCTGCTTGTTCTGTCCAAACAACTGACCATCTTCCTTCCTCCTTTCCTTTCCTTTTTTACTAAAATGAGAGCACGTGTTGGTAGCCTAAATGTCCGTCACCCGATTGGGTGATGATGCTGCATCAGTAGGAGGTGACGTGCAGCCTGCAGGAGGGTGAGTGTATGCTCATGGCTGCCAGGGACCAGGCGTGCTTTTGGGACGTGGGCAGAACCAGCAAAGTACGTCATCCTTGCCTTCACTGCATTTTAGTGGAGAGATGCAGACAGGAAATGTGTAAATCAGCAACTCAGTTCGTTTCATCATTGAGCATTGCTAGAAGTAAAGTGGGGCAGCGGGGAGAGGGTGACGGGATGGAGGCAGGCTGTGATCTGGTGTGTCCCGGTCTGCAGAGGCCTGTCTGAGATGCGAACTCCAGTCAGATGTGAAGGGGAGAAAGGAGGTGTGGGCGCGGCTCAGGCAGCAGCTATAGCAGGTGCGGAGGCCCCAGCCAGTCTCTTGTGTGAGAGGAGTAAAGGTGTCCATGTGTCTTGGAAAAGGAGGACAAAGATAGGAGTCCCAGCGCATGGGGCTCTGTGGCCTCAGTGGAAGGACGATGGGGATAAGCAGAGGGACACAAGGGCACTGGAGGCCAGTGGGGCTGGAGCGGAATTGGGGGGGCTTGTGGGCTGCCGTTGAGCTGACCTGGGCAGAGGTGAAGTGGGTGGCACCCAGGAACAGCAGGGCTAGGTTCAGAGATGCGCTGTAGGGCCAGCGTGACAAGGCGGCAGGGCAGATGGGGGTGTTGGCTGTGGGGCGGGGTCGCTCGGTGGGTGCTCATGCCATCCCTGGTGCCGGTGTCCTGCTGGAGAGAGCCACATTGGGGTGGGGCAGCACTTCTGCCTTGGCCATATTAAGTATGAGGTTCCTGATTGACAGCCGAGCGGAGATGCTGAGGGGCGTCAGGGAGCTGGCCAGGCTGGATGTCAGTGTGAGGGTCTTTGGCTGTGATCAAAGGCATGAGAGCAGATGTTTGGGGCAAGGAGCCAGGGGAGGGATGTGTTCTCAAGTGAGAAAAGCAAGCGACTTAAGGGGTGCTGTGGTTCCCGTGGACTCCTCCTCCTTCAGACGTTTGTAAAATGTGCATGGGAAAGGTCTGGATGGGGAAGAAAACTAAGTCTGTCAAGCTGGTTTCTCTGGAGTAATTTGCTGTAATACCCATACCGTGAAATCTACCCTTTTAGTATCGTTCAGTTGTTTTTAGTATATTCACAGCTGCAAAACCAGCAAGTGATTCACTCTTGAGGATATGCTCTTTGCAGGGGGAACTGGGTGGGACTGTTGATGGAGTGTCTGCTCTAAGCCAAGGTGTGGCACAGAGCAGGCTCGCTCATCAGGTTCACATGTTATGAAGTTCAGGGGCCAGAAGAAAGTGACCTTTCACTTTGTTTTACATGCTTTTGTATACGAGGTATTTGCAGATTTAATCATTTTAATCTTGAAAGTTTAGTTTGAATTACAGATTCACTTTCTTAGTAGTTCTAGCCCCATTTCACATGCTCAGCGGGGCCGCATTGCATGGTACAGATATGGAAATTTTCATCATTCCAGAACATTCTGTGGGGCAGTGCTACCTGGACTTTGTCGCACACACACACACACGCACGCACGCTCTCACTCACTCACTCTATCCAGGTGCGTTGTGTCAGATCTGCCTGTGCTATTATTACTCCGCTCCTTGGGTAGAGTTTGTGGAGGGAGGTAACTAGTGCTGCGTGCCTGCCCGTTCTTGGATAGTGAAGGCAAACCCTTCAGCCTTGTGCTTCCTAAATGCTGTGTGGGAGAAACTCCCCCTACCCCGTCCCCTTAAATGCAACAGCATGCTTGTCAACGGAGGTGAACAGTGCTGGCGTTCCGGAAGCCATAAAGGAAGGAGGAGAAGGAGTCACCCATGAGCCTCTGGGTTGACGTGTAGCCATAGCAACATTTTGGTGTATTTTCTTCTCTGCTAGTCTTTGTTTACCATGGTTGAAGCCATATTATGAGATCATTGTGAGATAGTGTTTTTCTTTATTATACAGAGAAACCATAGAAGTAATGCTCATCAAAAATTAAACATGAGAAACGTGGAGTAAAAGGCAAAAGGCCCCTCAGCTCCTTCCTCCCGATCTCATTTTCAGAGAGACTGTTTTCCGTCTGTCTTTTCAAAGCCTTTTCTTTGTATTTTATAAACATCTGTTCAACGTGCCGTCCTGTTTTCACTTCATGAGCATTTGCCCATGTCACTAAACCTCACTGAACCTCATTCTTGGTGGCTGCACCCTAGGTGGGAACCTCCGTTGGCTGCTTCGTCCCCGGCTGTTGAGCTGTTCATGGGGCCCCTCCTGGGAGGGTAGGAAGGGATGGGCTACACATTGTCACCCATCGCCATCAGGGGGTGGTCTTCCAGAGAAGGGCACGGGTGGGTCGGAGTTGGCGCCATGAGGCCCTTCCCGACATGAACCCTCGGTTCTTCCCTGCCACAGAGGACTACGGGCACTACGAAGAGCTGCCGGGGGAGCCTGGGGAGCACCTCTTCCCCGAGCACCCTCTGGAGCCTGACAGCTTCTCTGAGGGAGGGCCCCCAGGCCGGCCGAAGCCGGGCGCCGGTGTCCCCGACTTCCTGCCCTCGGCCCAGAGGGCCCTGTACCTGAGGATCCAGCAGAAGCAGCAGGAGGAGGAGGAGAGAGCGAGGAGGCTGGCTGAGAGCAGCAAGCAGGACCGGGAGAATGAGGAAGGCACGTGTCCTCCCCGGGGCAGGGGCTTTCCCTGATGGGCACAGGCCCCCCCGGGCCGCTGTGCCGGGGAGGTGGGGAATGCCTAGGTTGGGTTTTGTGTCAGAAAGGAACCTGTGGCCAGAGAGGACCCCTGCCCAGGGCTGTGAAGCTGCTGTGGCTGCTGCATGTCCCTGAGAAAATTAGAAGTCGGGGCTACCCTTCTGTGTCATGGGGGTCGGGAGAGACCCTGATCCCATTGAGGAGAGAGATGGGCTGGTCCCTGGAGGAGGCAGCAGACAACAGGATTTACCCCCTGTACCCTGACAAAGGAGACTCAGCCCCCCTTCCCCCAGACCACTTTCTCGGGAGGCCAGCAGATGAGAACTAGTTGTTGATGTAAACCAGCAATGGTCACAGTCACAGCTGCTGAGTCTCAGGGCGCTGTGCAGTGGGCCTGGTGGTGAAATGGGTGAAATGGGGTGCACAAGTGGAGTCTGGAACCTGAAGTCAGAGGCCATGAGTGGCCCTGACAGGAGCCCAGGAGCAAGAGGGACAGTGAGAATAGGGGACAGCCCCTCCCTTAGTGGCTCCGGTTGCACCTGCCCAGAAGGTTGAACGGGGGCCAGAGTCTGGCCCCGCCTCTTGTCAACTGGTGACTGCCATTCCCTGGGACGTGGTAACGTTTCAAGGGGCCTGGGAGGCAAGTGTCTGTGAGCCTCAAGTGCAGTGAGAGCTGAGTCAGTGGTAGCTGCTCTAAGGCACTCGGAGCTGGGCCAGCCATGGTGGGGGCTGGACCTGCCCAGGAGGTGAGGAGGTGGCAACGGCAGGGCCCTGGGCCCGGAGTCTGACCTCAGTCCTGGCTCTGCCTCCGATCTCATGACTGTCCTTGCCTGTTTTCTCATCTGTCAAACGGGCACGATAATAACACTATATCCTGGGTGGTTGTGACAATTAAATAAGACAAAGCACTTAGAACGGTGCCGGCACGCAGGGAAAGGTCCATAAACATTAGGCAGTGACCTGCCAGGCTTGGTGCCTGAGCTCCCTGGCTCTCCATTGCATCCCGTGATGGGAAGAGGTGTCTTAAAAGAGGAGAAACTGAGGTTCTGAGATGTAAGAGGTGGAAGAGCAGGCTGCCTTGGGGTCCAGAAGGGGCTGATGGTGGACGTGGTGGCCACTCACCCTCTGTGTTCCTTTGTGCTTTTTCTCAGGTGACACTGGAAACTGGTACTCAAGTGATGAGGATGAGGGTGGGAGCAGCGTCACGTCCATCTTGAAGACCCTGAGACAGCAGACATCTAGCCGACCCCAGGCTTCTGTTGGGGAGCTGAGCAGCAGTGGGCTGGGGGACCCCCGCCTCCAGAAGGGAGGCCGGCTGGCTGACCCCCGCCTCAGCCGGGACCCCAGACTCACTCGCCACGCCGACGCTTCCAGTGGGTCAGGCCCAGGTGACACAGGACCCTCTGACCCTCGACTGGCTCGCTCCCTGCCCGCACCCAAGCCAGAAGGCAGCCTTCATTCCAACCCTGCAGGCCCCAGCGGCTCAAAGGGCTCTGGGCAACCCCCTGCAGAAGAGGAGGAAGGGGAGCGGGCCCTTCGAGAGAAGGCTGTGAACATTCCCCTGGACCCCCTCCCTGGGCACCCGCTGCGGGACCCACGATTGCAGCTGCAGCAGTTCAGCCACATTAAGAAGGATGTGACACTGAGCAAGCCGAGCTTCGCACGCACTGTACTCTGGAACCCTGAGGACCTGATCCCTCTGCCCATCCCCAAGCAGGATGCAGTGCCCCCGGTTCCTGCAGCCCTGCAGTCCCTGCCTGCCTTGGATCCCAGGCTGCATCGTGCCGCCGCCTCAGGCCCCCCCAACCCCCGGCAGCGCCCAGGCCCCTCCACAGATCCCAGCACAGCCGGCTCCAACCTGCCTGACTTTGAGCTCCTTTCTCGCATCCTCAAGACTGTCAATGCCACTGGCCCCTCGGCAGCTCCTGGCCCCAGTGACAAGCCCAGTGACCCCCGAGTGCGGAAAATGCCCACCGACCCTCGGCTGCAGAAACCAGCAGACTCCGCTGCCTCCTCCCGGGTAGCCAAGCCTGGTCCCACTGAAGCACCATCTCCAGCCGCCAGCCCCAGTGAGGAGTCCTCCCCGCCAGCCACCGCCCCCTATGATCCCCGCGTGCTGGCGGCTGGTGGCCTGGGCCAGGGCAGCGGGAGCGGGCAGAGCAGTGTGCTGAGCGGCATCAGCCTCTACGACCCTAGGACTCCCAACGCAGGTGGCAAAGCCGCTGAGCCGTCTGCTGATGCGGGCTCCCAGCCCAAGGGCCCCGAGGGCAACGGCAAGAGCCCCGGCACCAAGGCCAAGGAGCCCCCGTTTGTCCGCAAGTCCGCCCTGGAACAGCCTGAATCCGGGAAGTCCGGGGCAGATGGGGGCGCGGCTGCAGCCACAGACAGATACAACAGTTACAACCGGCCCCGGCCCAAGGCTGTTGCAGCCCCTGCCACCGCCACAGGCGCCCCAGCACCAGAGGGCGCCCCGCCCCAGCCCGGCGTGCACAACCTGCCCGTGCCCACCCTCTTCGGGACGGTGAAACAGGCGCCCAAGACGGGCACTGGAAGCCCGTTTGCTGGCAACAGCCCGGCCCGTGAGGGTGAGCAAGACGCTGGGTCCCTGAAAGATGTTTTTAAAGGCTTTGACCCCACTGCCTCCCCCTTTTGCCAGTAGTGTTAAGCCGGAGACAAGCGCTCCCTGCACCCCACCCTTCCCAGGGCAATATTTAAGGGCAGCAACCAGAGCTGGGGACTAGGGGGAGGGGGGAGGGGGACTGGGTGTTCTTTCTTTTCTTTTTCCTTTTTTTTTCTTTTTTCTTTTTCTTTTTTTTTTT